AATTTCAAATAGTCTGTAGCTGCTGTAAACATTTGTAAGAGGTATATTTTGTACTCAGCGTAAATGCTTGGCTGCTCCTAATTGTCTGGCTTAATATTAAACTTGTAAATAAATAACCATTCATTTCTCCTCATCTGCTAAAACTGAATGAATGTGTTTGCTTTTTCTACACGATTTTTTAAATGTTTTTTCATGTGTTGTAATAGTCCAGGGAGGAGAAGATATTGGGATAGTGGGGGTTGCTTAATTTCCTCTGAGTGTTACACTGTGGCTTCCTCCTTTCCTTTTTTCCATTGTGACCTGAACTGAATCACTTTCATCTGTGTTTCCTTAGGTTCCTGCTATACAACAGAGAAGAATCGTTGCCTATCTCAACCAGTTTGTTGTGCACACCGTCCGGTTCCTTAACCGCTTTTCCACAGTTTGTGAAGAGGTTTGTGTATCTTCCATCACTTTGTAGTCTCCAGGCCTTTGATCTCTTGATAAGATCACAGAAATGACTTCCGCAACAATTGAATCATAGCTTGACTTATCAAACTTCCTCCCACAGAAACTTGCAAACATATCTCTTCGCATACAGCAGATTGAGACCACCCTGTGCATTTTGGAGGCCAAGGTGAGTTTTTCAGTCGTTCCGTCTGCACTTTATCCCACAATATGTACGTTTCATGCCTCTTTGCTCATATTTCATTGTCTTCTGAGCAGTTGTCTTCCATTCCTGGACTGGAGGATGTAACAATAGACGGACTCAGTCAGCAGCAAACTGCGCAGACCAATGGACCCACTATCGCCAGTCAGAGCCAGACAGATGGTCCAGCAGCAGGGACGCTGCCTCCCCCAGAGGTAAGTAAACAGACTTGTATACAAGCAAACAGGTAGTTTGATTGAGCCATACAGAACCGCAGCACAGACACAAGCCAAGATTAAATTTCAAACATTTTTTAACAATGAGAATTTGGACGGAAAACCAAGCAAACATGACTTAGAAATCAATCTTCCAGCCTCACTAAGGCTCTCTAATCAATGCTTAATATGTTTTTGTCTGCAAGGAAAGGAAAAGTAGTCCCAGCACGTAACTCAGCTCACTCCGTTTTTCTAAGGATGAAATAAACATGTTACGAGGTGCTACTCAGTGCACTTTCGAGGTTCTTCTACATGCATTTTTGACCTCTGTGGCAGTCTTTTTAATAAGTTACGCTAACCCACCTCTTCGTATTTACTGTACTGAAATTAGAGTATTATCAATCACTCCCATAGAGTTATAAAAAGTACTGACACAGTTACATTAACTAGCCTTTTGATTATTAGTGTTAAACGCTATAATGTAACAGAAAACAGACGATCAAAAAGTAGCAACGCATACACTGTGATATCTCTATTTCATGTTGCAGCCGGCTCAAAGTTCACAGGAAGCTGCACCAACGCAAACAGCAGAAGCAGCTGTAAATGAGAATGTGATGACAGTGGCCAAGGACCCACGTTATGCCCGATACCTGAAAATGGTTCAAGTGGTAAGTCGTTATTACAGCTGCTAGTGTGCTAAAAAAAAAAAAAAACAATAAGTCACTATTTATTCTGTGTCTTACTCTTCTATTTGGATTGTTATAGGGGGTTCCACTGATGGCCATCAGGAATAAAATGGTCATGGATGGATTGGATCCCAGCTTGCTTGAGTGAGTGTTAGTGATCGTACAGCTACTGATCTGTGTGTATTCATGTACAAATTTATATTAAACTGACCGCTACTATGTCATTTTTCTAACAATAGCACACCCGACGCTCCTGTGCCTGACGGAGTAAGAAGCGCAGAGGACCAGGATGTTGCTGCTACGAGCTCTGACAGCGAATCGTCTTTCAGCGACTGACGTCTTTCCTTCCTCCTCATCATTGCAAAGCTCCCTCTAAAGCTCATTCATCGCCATCCGCACTTCTTCAGGCCTGAAGTTAGGAAGGTTGCAGAGCACCTGTACAGGATTACCATTGAGAAGGTGCCTGAAACAGTGAAATCCAACCCAAGTGATTGTAATTTCAGTTTAAAACGCTGAAATGTTTCTGCTGTCGGTCAGTCAGTGACCTCGATTTTGATACGTCATTAGCATTTTTGATGAATGATTTTTCATTTCATAAAGGGGGGGATCATTTTTCCTCTCGATCATGTGAGCAGAAATCCTCAGAAGATCGAAGTAGCAAGTAGTTTTTGTATAAAACCAGGTCATATCATTTAGTGGTCGGAGGTTCACTGTGGTAGTTGGACCACTATCAGCCTAATGCCTTTAGGGGATGCTACTCATCTCTTGGTTGTTCTGTTTACTTTTGTAACAGGCTCCAGATAACAGAAAAACATATGTAACGAAAATGTTAAATGTTCAAAAGGTACATTGTCTTTATTCTCCAGTCAAATTAGCACTTGTAGCCGGCATTCCAGAGAAATTTGACATTTCGTCTGCCACAGAATGCTTGAAGTACCGACTTTCTGTCTATTTTTTGAAACAGTTAAAATATGAAAAACGTCCAGACAGCAGCAAAACAGTTCATCTCTCATTATAGGATATTGTGAACAAGTTGCAGTGGCTTAGGAGAGAACGGACACCCCTTTGCCTTTGTGTAGACTTTATTGCATCATTCTGTAAATTGCGTGTTGCTTTCATTTCCTTGAAATTGAAGCACAATAACCCAGAAACACAAAGCAGAAACGTGTTTCAGGAATTTTTTGGTTTTTTTTGCAAAAATCTTCGAATGAAATCGGAAGATGCTGCATGAGTCTTGATGTTAAATACTAAAATAAATAAAATCTTTATATGTTATAAGTGAAAGACAATAGATAATAATAAATCAAAATGTATTGCCCGGCTGTGCTTCAGGTTGCCCCTTTAACTAACATTTCTCCATTGACTTGTTTACTCCATGAGTTGTATTGTTTTGTCAGGAATAACAGGGTTGTGGACACTAACGTCTCCTGTATGAAGAATCATCAAACTTGCACTAAAAGGTGAACATTCATAAATTATCATAAAAACTGCAGGACTTTTTGTGTGCGACTCTTTGTCATTACATCGGTGAGAACTCGTGGGTACGACTGACGATGCAAAACTTGGAAGTTGAGAAACGGAGCCAAGAACCACAAAAACCTGATCGCTGCGACTGATAAGAGTTCCCTCAATGAATACCAGAATGAGGTGGAGGAATCTGGAAAGCACGTTGTTTACAAGAGCAACGACTTTTGATCTGTAATAAACACTCACACAAGTTGTTTAAAAAATAAAAAGAACAGATTTATTCTTCAACTCATGAGCAGGAAGTAATCTGTACAGTACATGATGTCACAAGCAAAAGTACAAAAGTCATTCAGTGGAACTTTCCCTCATAAATCCAGTATCTGTAGTGAAAAGGTTGTTAACCTGAATTCATCTATGTCCATTACAGTGAAGGGATCATACAAAAGTAATGGCCTCCGATCCAGTCATTACCAGCCAATACATGGGTTTAAATCTAATAATGCAGACTAAACGTGGCCAATAGCAACAGCCAGCGCTTTAATAAAAAACTTTTTTGCAGCATGTTGACCTGACATTCCTTATCTCCAGGCACGGTAAAGGTAATTAACCTCTCAAGCAGCCAGACAGCATATTTGTGTTCCCTCATGTCAAGTGAGTTTTATGTATTAATCCCTGTCCTCGTGCCCTTTTTTTTTTCTCTTCTAGTGTCTCTGGTGATTTTTACTTGTTTCATAGCAAAACAGCAGCCACAGTACTGGCAGATTGCTCTAAAGCAGCGGTTTCCAAAACCCAGGCAGCGTCGATATTCCAGAAACATCTATGAGGTCAAAAGGTCAATGAATAGATAATGAACAAAACAAAGCCTTCCTGTTGTTAGTTTATCTAAAATTATAGTTTTTTTTCTTATGAAATACTAAGGAATTCTGGTTTAACTGCTCAAAACTCATGTCAAGATTGAAGGTTTTATCGTACCTATATCTAGGCAGTCTAGTTGTTCTCGTACTTTTTCTGAGCAATATCTGACACCAGAATTTCCTTTAAATCAATAAATCTTATCTTAAAGCCACGTGACAAGTAGGTGATTGGTTAAAGGGGAATACAGGTGGAGCTGCTGCTTTAAGGCAGACGATTAAAAAAAAAAAAAAATAAAGCCTTCATTTGTGTTGGAAAGCATACGTAAGCATCAGCTCCTGCTTATTTTGTTACTGGAATCCAATTTGGCAGTTGTGCAAAGCAAACTAATGAACTAAGTGAGCTAATTTCTATTGCATGAGCTGTTCATAAGCTGCAGACATGAGAAAATTCACATCTGTAGCTGCACCGTCGAACCGTTTAGTGGCATCCGCTGGTACCATTTAGAGCAATAAACAATAAGCACCAGAACTGAAATCTGAACTTGAGTACCCACAAGAAGAGCTTTCCAAAGAAAACCACTAATCAAAAATTCTAACATGCGAACGTGATCGGTGTGACATCTGAAGACCGGACTACCGCTCAACAGAATCGTTCTCATTTATGAGCAGTGGTCATGTGTTGACCGTGTGATGAACTTCTCATATTAGTTGTCACAGGTCTGGCTGGATCTGTGTCACGCTGGTGTGGCAACAGCTGAGCAAAGTGCAAAGTGACGTTTGACCGCACAGACAACAGTAGCTGCACTTGTAAAACGACAGTATAAAAAGTATAAAGATACAAATTCTGGTCAGTTTTTCTTCCCATCATTTACAGCTGACCGACAGCCAGATATTTGAAATGTATAAATAACAGTGTAAAATGGATTTGCTCTCAAAAACTTCAGTCAAGTGGCAAAAATACATAGTTGTAAAAAAAACAAAAGCCTTGCAGTTTATAAAAAACATCCATCGATTGAAGCTTTGCAAAAGCAAACGCGCATAAAATACTGGTATTCATCCTCATGCTGCTGCAAGAATGTTCAAGACCGCTCCGCGTGCTCTGTTATCACTTCTAAGGTGAACATCTGTGGGGGGATAAAAAGAAGGAAAAGATCTTAGCTACAGAAAAAGATAGCCATCGTCATGTTTGATGGTCTGATACTCACTTTGAACTCATGAATGTATGTGAGGAAGAAGCAGACGAAGCTGAAAGCAACAGTCCACTCGCATGCGGCGCTGGCCACATGGAAGGGGTAAGCCTGCAGGAGGGAAACACGACGCCATCAGTGAAGTGTTGATGTTAAATGATGAAGGACCACATTAACAACAAGAAGTTAGATCAATTCTAAATCACCTTACAGCTGTGTTCTGCATTAATCTGGTAACTGTTTGGCCTGTAAATGTCTAAGAACTCCTTTTCACTCCCTCGATCAGTTACTGGCCTCAACAACCTCCCCAGTGCTTTTTGTTCTCTTAGGTGTTATCTATTTCTATCTGTTATCCTCTTTTCTCTTTCCTTTACTCTCACCCTGACAAGCTGTGGCATGCCTTCCCTCCCTGAGCCTGGTTCTGCCTGGTTTCTTCCTGGTGAAACTCAGTTTTTCTTCCCACTATCACGAAATCTCTTTTTAAAAGTGAAGTGCTTGGATTTGTTGGATTTCTCGCTATAATATAAAACAGTAAAGTGTCCACCTAAAGTTCCCGAAGTGGAGCTGTGTTGTGCATTGGGGCTAAATGACAAAAAAAAGGAAATGAAAACGTGGCTGATAGAGGAGGCACCTGAGAAGCCCGAAAGCGACACAGAACTGTGTGTCTTGCAGTTATTTTGCATAGTCATTTAATTTGATCTCTTTGTCATCGTTTTTTTGGTCATTTTGTGTCTCTGTGTGGTCTTTTTTGTCCCATTTTGGTCACTTTTTGTGAGATTGTAGTCGTTTCGCATCTCTTTGTTGCCATTTTCTCTCTTTGTAGTCATCTTACTTCTTTTCATTTACATCTCCTTTGCTTCTCATATTGCTTTGTGTCTCTTTCTGGGATACAGATTATAATTAGTAAGTGACTGCTTTGGCCAATGGGAATGTGCCTGGTAGGCCTGTTCAGTAACATGTCCATGGTTGTGCAATCAGTAAAGCTTGTAGCTTACTATAATTTTGCCATCACTGATATAAGACAAAGAAAGCATGAAAATCCCTACAATAGAGAGGGTAGAACTGGAGATGTTTTAGTTGTTGTTGCCATTTTTGATGGAGAACAGCGATGGAGAATTATATTTTTCATCAGTTAATCAGATCCTTCTCCTAAACTCCTGTCATCTCTGCCCTGATGCAACATAGTGAAACACTGCAGCCTACCGGGTCGTCCTTCTTCATGTGCAGGTCGGTTCTTTTCACGAAACCAGCACAGATGACAGCTGAGTTATCAGTTAAGGGAAATGTAACACCTGTTGACACTGGTAAATGTGTAACAAAAGCAGCGCCCAATGCATCAACTGTTAACTACACGACTAGCAAGAGAATAATGATGCAGCTTCCTGGTTACACACACTTCATGCATGTTAACATAAAAAACGTTAAGAAACCAAACCATGCAGACTTTTTTTTTGGGTAATTTGAAAGGATACTGGGGAAAAATGCCAAAGCAGCAATCGAGGCGATGAGTGCACGAGTCCAACACACAGTAATGGTGGCGCCGAATGGAAAGGCTTGATATGATATAACGGACTGCAGGATTATGTATAAAACACCAGAAACAAAAAACAGCGCCGCTCCGATATCATGAGCTATTGTCATTGTTGTTTCCTGCAATCAAAAAACAGAACGATTCTCAGTGAAACATCCCATCATGTTATTTTCATATGATGTAAATGTGCACTGCCTGTGGAGACGTACCTGGAAGGTAGCAACAATGCACATGCCTAGACAGGTGATCAGCCCGATCCAAAGAGCAGCTAGATTGAGTTTTTGATTCACCGCCCGGGTGTCCTCGTTCATCTTGTCCACAAACTTGTATCTGGCATAAATGGTGGCCATTGCTGTGCAAAAAAAGAAGAAAAAACAGGTCATGGATTTACCACAATAAAGTTCCACAGTTAAAAAAAAGAAGTAATTTATAGACTTTTTAAATTATCGATGTATTTTTTTTTGAAAAGCAGAAAACTTTTAATAAAACTACCAAAACACACTTTGAATTTACATGTCGAATGTAAAAACTGTGAATAACATGACATTACGGTTTTTAAAAAAAAGAAAATTGAAATGATTTAACATAAAAAAGATGCATATTTATTGTAATTTCACAAACATTTAGTTTTTATTTATTAGATTAAACTTCTTTAACATTAAACTCTAAAGCAGCACACATTTATAAAATTAGATACTAGATAAAAGTGACAAAAAAACAGTGAAAGCGGTGTTGGTTCTGTAATTTTACACAGATTATTTTTGTTTAATTAGAGATATTTATAATTACAGGAGTAGCTTTTACAGCAAAACACTGAATTAATCAGTTTTTTTCAATCTGTAATATTTATAAGCACTGCTAATATCTATATTCTTGATAATTTCACTACTTTTACACATTTAAATGTCCTTTATCCATTTCTGTAGTGGAGGAAGCATCCAGATAATTCACTTCAATTAGAATATCTATCTATCTATCTATCTATCTATCTATCTATCTATCTATCTATCTATCTATCTATCTATCTATCTATCTATCATCACACAAGAACAACAACAACAAAAAAATAAAATAAAATACACATGGAATGGTCACACAGTCACATGGAAAATGTATTTAAATGAGATTTTCCTTTTTCCATTATTTGTCAGAACTTTTTTGGGCCCCAGCTGCCAGATTTTTTTTTTTTTTAACTGTCTATTATTATTATTATCATTATTATATGATGATGATGATGATGATTATTCCAGTGTATATGAACCTATTCTTTTTTCGTCTCTAAAAACTGTGCTTTCATTCTCTTTAAAAAGGGGAAATGTGAGTAACATCTTTAGAGAGTTTGGTTCCTCCCTCGGGAACTTGGGAAAGCCCAGAGTTGCAGTTAAAACACTGCAGATGTTCACAGCGGGAATGAAATACCTGCACATGCAACAATGAACGTCATGAGGCCGAAGATGCAGCTTTCTGGAGGGTTAGCACCTGTGTCACTGAGAACAGAGAGAAAAACAAAGAGTCATCCACCGCAGACGTGTCATGACTTCCCGTTAGCCGGCAACGAGTTGCGTAAAACGGAAAACTTTCCTTAAAATAAAGACATTACTTCAAAAAAGTGAAGCGAAAAAAGCTTCAGAGCGGCAGCAGAGTGATGAAATTACAGATGTTTACGTGCAGCTGGAGTCCGGCTGCCAGCCAAGTCATTATGGAGGAAAACGAAACTAAAGAATCATCAGAAATCACTCGGAGGAATAAAACATCCACGCGTCTGTTTTTACAGAACAAACGCGTAAGAACAGCGGATTGGTGTGGATTTGAGTTCAGTGTGCGTAAAACCTACCTTATGTATGGGAAGATGATTTCCACATCGTGTCTGACAATCGCGATAATGTAGGAAATAATGAAAGTGCCGGAGGACCAGATGACCAGAAAGGCTGGCAGCGCGCACACACCCTGCGTGAACCACCACAACATCTCACACGGACTTGACGCGCAACTTTCCCAGAAAACTCGTTAAAAGCGCAGCAACAGGAGTCATACAAGAAGAGATCCAAGTCCAGGACCAGTCCGCTGTCTGTTACCGACAGTCACATGCTGCTCCGAGAACAACAGTGAACTTGGCCTCTGACAATAAGCTGATATACAGTATTACAGTAACCTCTTCCCCAAAATGACTCCTGTGGGCGGCCCAAGCAGAAACAAGCAGACGTGATGATCGGCAGCGCTTCATTCCTCCCTCTTTCTTTTCTTCTCTTTCTGTCTGATCTTTCTTTCATGCCATCCTGCAGAAGAAACCTGTTGCATTCCTTAAAACTCTCATATTTTGCAATTTGAAGTACTTCCCCATTCATCCCATGACTGCACTTTTATCAGAAGCTGCCAAATAGTTGTTTTTTTTGTCCTGTTTTTGCTGCTACACTGTTGTTAACACGCTGTATTTTGTTATATTGTGTGTTTCTCACTAAAATGTCATGCAGAGGCTTTGACTATGCTGCCGAAAAGCAGTTTATGTTAATGTTATACGGCTATTCTGGTGGTAAAGCATGCCTTTATCAGGTACATGACAATAAAATGAGGCCAGCTCATCCATTAGAGCACTTCATAAGATAATTTATTCCAGCTTTGCTTCCTCAAACTACTTCAAAACTGAGCTTATGTGTTGACAGTTCAGTAATAATAATATAGAAATGATAATGAACCCTTTGGACAGAGGCCAATCTGCTGCCTAATGAATAGAAACTACATGAATTTATCTGTATGTTTTATTTAAAGTCTGGTTTTTGATGCAATTTCCTGCTTCTACTTGTAAATAAGTATTTTTACTTTAGCTAAACAGGATGATCTGAATATTTCCTCCACCACAAGAATGATATCTGAAGAAGGCTGTTAAAAGTTCACGTACACTGTAAAAACATAAAGTGTAAATGATTATATAGCAGCAGCTAAAATAGCCAGACTCATAAAAATACAGTCATTTTTCATAATTACAATACATTTCATAGCCTTAATTTGACAGAAGATCTATTAATAAAGTAGATTTACATGTGTAAAAACAATGAATTTCCTTCAATATATAATAATATAACATAGATAGATAGAATGTGCCCCTTATTCTGTTCATTTTGTCTAATTTTGTACAATTTTAGAAATGTATCTATAGTATAAACCTTGAACAATTTCCTTTAAAAAATAATGATATTATTGTGAAATTACCATCAATTTTCTTTAAAAAAAAAAAAGAAGAGATTTCATGGTTATTTTTAATGGCACAGTTACAGTTTTTTAAAATATCATTTTACATTAGAAGATTCATAATCTATTTTGTAATTTTACTGATATTTTTGAGCATTTTGCAAACATGGAAGAAATTTGTAAAAATACTTTATTTTATTTATTTATTTATTTTAAATTTTTTTTTTTACAGTGAATGCTGACATCCAGGTCCAGGAATTGCAGAATATAGTATAATGTTGACACTTTAAACAAATGTATTTTCTTTTTCTTTTTCTTTTAGGAATTCATACAGCAAAGATAGAGATATTTGCACATCCACAAGTTTTCCCTGGTTTGTTCCCGCTCGTTGACTCCCCTGATAACAAAGGAATGCGTGGGTTCTGCTCTGCTGCCGAGCATAAAGCAGCATGGGTCGTTTAATGATCACCATGTTTGTGTATATGACACTGAAAGCCATAAACCAGTGATGAACTGGGATAAATGAGTTAAAGCTTTATTTTGCTGAAATGAACTTGGATTCAATGAGCAGGAAAACAGTGATGTCAGTTTGATCCTCGGACATTTGGTGGAGACCGTCATCCACAAAACTTTCACTCGCTCCCAACTCTAAAGCTGCCTTTCTGAAATTCTAACGGAGGCCGATGGCAGCGAGGCCAAGTGGAGCCTGTTTACAGCTTCACTTGTTGCTGGACTTATTTGAAGCTTGCCAGAGCCAGACTTGGCAGCGTCCTTTAAGAGCAGCGGCTGGTTGAAAAGGTCTTTTCTCAGACTCGGTTAACCCAGAGGACTCCTGACTCAGTGGGCAGAAGCTGCTGGGAAGAGAAACACCACACCTTTCCTCATAACGCCACAGAGAGGACTTCCGCATTCTGGAGAGGATTTCTGGAAAGTTGATTACTAATAATAATGGAGAACAATGATGAAAGGGGGTAAAAGGTCTCCTCAGTGTTGAGGCCTTTTATTTTATTGTGTTTTTCTCTTCATTTTAACATTGTTCAGGGTTCTCATGCATGAGTTGATGCTGGACAATGTAGAGGTTCACACTTGACTTTGTGTATCTATGACACTGCACACAAACATGACTTCTATTGACAATGACAATTAACTCTAAACAATGAGCCTCCTGACCCGTTGAGCCTTTCTGAGAAAAATACAGACTGATTCAAACAGCAACAAACAGTATAAAATCTAAAAAAAAACCACAAGGGTTACTTAAAGACCAAAGGAGCTCCTTGGTGGTGGAACAACCTGCCAGAAGAACTCCAACTCGCTTCATCTTTATATGTTTTAAATCATGTTTGAACACCTAATGGATCAAAAGTCTTTCTTAAAATTATTATTGTTATTAATAAATTATGGTGCACTTGCGTGTGGAATTCTGAAATAAATATATATATTTTTTGTATTTTATCCTTGGTGTTTATTTTATGACTTTAATTCCTCCATTACATGGATATATATTTTTTAATGTATTTGTTGTAAAACATTTTGCAATGCTATTTCTGATCATTTCTATACAACAACAACAACAACAACAACAACAACAACGACAACAACAACAATAATAACAGTATTAGCTCAAGAGACAAAAAATAATTTAGAAAAAAATAATCAAGAAAATTTTCTTAATCTTAATGTATCTATACTTTTGCTGACACAATGCAGGAAAAAGAAAGAAAAGAGATGATTCTGTTGTGAAAATAAGTTACACTTTTGATATTCAGTCTGTG